ACTAGAAGAGAAGTTCCAGTACATAAAAGAAAGAGAGGCAACCACATTCTTATATCATACACTCTATACAAAATAGCTATACAACTTGTACAAATGACCCTACAAAATAGTTAAAACTTTAGGCTTGGCATCGCCTAAAAAGGTCTGTAGTTTTTACTTTTCGATTTCCACGTAAAAATCCTTGTGTCCATTCTTATTTCTATCTCTCTTTCTACTTATCTTTTCTACTTTATTTTACATGTGAATCCACCGGCCTATCAGTTGTTTTGGCCTTCTGTGGGCTGTCAAAAGTCCTAAAACCAACATCAATGACTACTTTCATTTCGCAATCTTGACAAATCAGTGATCAAATGTGATAATTTGTATAATTGATCAAGGCATTAATGATCCATTTGAAAACATGTTTTGAAAAATGGTCCTTTTTTTTAGAAAATAAAATATTTTTTGGTGTTTAGTTGAAAATTAGAGAACTCAATTTTTTTTAAATGAAAAGAATTTTATTATAAAGTTATTTTTTATAAAATATTAACTTGTGTGATATGATACTCGAATATATTTATAATTAACTTATTATTATTAATTTAATTTATTATAAATATTATATTATGATTAAATAAATAATATTGAAGGTGAACATGCATATCTTTATTTTCTTTATCTTACATGGAGGAAATTTTTGGTAAAGATATAGTATTAACTGCAATATTATGTTGGCAAATTTGAATAATATGCATCAAGTGAGTAAAAGATGCAAATTTTATTTTTCAAAAAAAAATGCAAAATTTGGGCGAATATTCTTTGTAAATTAGAGGGGAGAAAAATGTTATATATACACCTTGTAATGACTTAGGCCCTGTTTGGTAAAATGGCTGTTAGCTGATAGCTGTTTGCTGTTAGCTGATTGTGTTAATTAGAGAGTATAAATAGTTCATAACATTAGCTGATTGTAGAAAAGTGTTTGGTAAATTAGCTGTTAGCTGATAGCTGTTTGGTATAATTTCTTTTCTCAAAAAGCTAATTGAAAAAGTTGCTAGGAGTAGCTTTTTTAATTTTAGCCTTTTGGAGTTGCAAAAAGCTAATTAACCAAACATTTATATTGATATTTTAACTAAATCAAACAATTAATAGTGGTCAAATAAGCCAAAATTGGCCTATAGGCCAATTTTTTTACCAAACAGGGCCTTATTAATGAACTTACAATAATAAATTTCTAGTAGTGACTTAATGAACATGTAGTAATAACTTATCGAACATGCAACAATGGTAATTGTATGTTAATAAAATTGAAAAAGAAAAAAAAAAAGAGAAAGAATTCATGTGTGTCATTTTAAAAAGAGTAAATTCTATCAAAGGTCCTTTGTTTTTTGTCGCATTTCAAATTTAGTCCCAGACTATCATTTTTGCATTTAACATCCCAGATTATTATTTTTAGACACTTTTAGTCCTTTTATGACTTTTTCTATTTTTTAATAAGGGCAGTTTTGACTTTTCATATTTTTCTTTTGTTATGTTTTTCAGTTTCAGCTGGTTTAATTATTTAGAACTTTAGGTCATAAATCAATTAAATTGATTTAAAGAAGAAAAATAACAAAAGAAAAATATGAATAGACAAAAATGGCCTTACTAAAAATAAGGAAAGTCATGAGAATGACTAAAAGTGTCCAAAAACTAATAGTGTGGGATGTTAAATGACAAAACTGATAGTCTGGAACTAAATTTGGAATTGCCACCAAAGACAACTGACATCTGGTGGAATTAACTCTTTTAAAAAAATCACAATTAGAACTTTTTAATGATATATTTGTTTTAGAGTTAATTCAATTTTTTTGTCCTAAATTAATAGGTGACAATTTACTTTTAGTCCTTTTTATAGAACATTACACTTTGTTCCTAGTATTATTGTACAATCAATTTCTGATTTTCATCAACAAAATCGTTTAAGTGCCGTTAAATACAAGGCATTTCGGCGTTCAATTAAGGATTATATATATATATATATATATATATATATATAGCGGGTCAACCCACTTTGTATAAAAAATGATCAAAATGCCCATGTATTTAATGACATTTTAACAATTTTGTAGACAAATGACCAAAAAGGTCATGTCACAATAATACTAAAACCAAAATGAGATGTTCTAAAAAAAGACTAAAAGTGTACTATCAACTATAAATTTAGGAGAAATGATAGAATTAACTCTTTGTTTTACATTAATTTTACTTGTAAAAAAAAAATCTAAAGTTTAAAGAATTTAGGAATAAAAGTATTAATTTATTAAAATCTTAAAATTTGAATTCTAAATAATTTTAACATTTTCTTAACTACTAAAAAAAAAATAATCATCTTTTATTATAGGTACAATATATTATTTTAAATCGATAACTATAATAAATCTGAATTTAAGAAATCACATAAGCAAACCTTTATTTTAAAAAAAAAAAAAAAAACATAAATATAAGTCCTTTTTAATGTTGTTCACCCTTACCCACCCCCACCCACCCTACCACCCTCTTTCCCTGCAAAATGATGGAATTACACTGTTAACGATTTGCTCATAATACACGATATCTTGCTTTTATGCTTCCACCTCAAATATATATATACTTGGACAACATCTAAAATTACAAAATTTTATTGTCTCATTCTTTCATTATTTAATGGATGTAGTGGTTCACTTTACATGTACCTTGTCCTTTACTTTCCTCGTACATTTTGCTGTATTTTCATTTAATTTTCCTTTTTATTTCATGAATAATTTAGAGACATAGCATGTGTACAAAACCAGGCCAGAAAGAGATGCTCTAACACAAATATGGGAACTGACTGAATTAACTCTTACCCTACCTACCTAAAATTGCAATTCATAATTGAAGTATGTAATAAATTTGTATTGTATCTCATAAATTTCATACTCGAGTTGATAAGGACTCGACCGAAATGGTGTGATGAAGAAAACCTGTAATTAATTACTATCTAAGAGTTGTCGTGTGCACTAGTTAACTCAAAAAAACTACCCTTTATGATAGGCTCAATTAAAAGAGTATTAACAAGAATTAAACTCATAACCTTTAGGTACGAGAATTAAGTTTTGTCCATTTGACAATTTATTTGAAGGATTTATAATTCACTCTTGTTATTCAATTAGGATGGGGGGGGGGGGGGGTGTGAATATATTATAAAAACAAAATTTATTGGAGTGAAAAATAAGTACATAACATCGTATAATCGTACTGATGTTCATGTTACGTATAGTTAAAGTTAATTTACACAAATACAATATAATTGTTTTTTTTCTTGATTTGCCATTGATGTTGCTTTCTTACAAATACAATTTAGTAATTTACTTTCTCTCTCATAACAAGACTTATATTGTTTCTTTCATTATCATTTTGTCTTATATATTATCAAATTAGTAAAATGATTTATACTCCATAATAGACTATCCAACTGCTAAAAGTAGAAATTTTAATTTGTCCTATTTATAAAATTTATCAGTCTCCGCCCAAGTCACAAATACATACCCATTTGATCCCAAAATAATAATAATAATAATAATAATAATAATAATAATAATAATAATAATAATGATTAAGAATTGAAAGGGAAGAAATGAATAAAACGATAATCATAAAAATGATAAAATAATTATTTATCATGGAATTATAATACATAGGGAGATAAAATAATTGTTTAAAAGGTTAATTAATAAAAATTTTTCGGGCTGGGGTGTGGGGGGCGGCCCTTAGGGTTGGGGTTCAGCCTTTTGGAAGAAGAATTGCAGTTTCATGGTTAGAGAGAATTGTAATTATGTGAAATTGTAATTTCCTCCCGTCAAATCACGGAATTGCAATTCCATGAACTTTGATAAGAATAGAATTACAATTTTATCTTACCAAACACTCTATTATGTGATGTTTGGGACGTGGGAGCAACCAAACAACGCTCGGTTATTGTGAGGAGGCAATAACCTTTTCGGGGTCTCCTCCTATTAATAAAAAATTTTAAAGATGAAATTTCTTTCGAATAATTAAAATAATAAAATGTATTACATTAGGATATAATTTTATAATTTACATTTACAATTAGGAACCGCATAAATTTAAAATTTCTTTCAAAGAAAAATTAATTTAATTAGAAGAGCAAAATAACCCGTCCTATTTGTATTTTTTCAAAACTTATTGAAATAACGGTCAACTAGTTAAAAGAGCTTTATTTTTTTATTTTATTTTTTCTTTTTATGCCCAATATATTATTGGGAACCAAAATTTTCAGCACCGCCATGGAATTTCAGCAAATTTTTATGTTGTGTGGACCATAAAAAGAGTAGAGACCATGTTTGGTAAAATAATTAGTTTATAGGTTAATTTTTGCTTATTTGATCACTATTAGTTGTTTGACTTACTTTAAAAATCAATATAAGTATTTGTTTAATTAGTTTTTTGAATTCTAAAATGTTAAAATTCAAAAAGCTAATCAAAATAACTTTTTCAATTAACTTTTTGAGAAAAGAAATTATACCAAACAGCTATCAACTTACAGTTCATTTATCAAACACATTTCTACAATCAACTAATGTATCAACTAGTTATATCATCTAATTAACCCAATCAGCTAACATCTATTTATCAAATAAGATCATATTTTATTAATAAAAAAATATATTTATATAAAATAATATACTTTTAGTACTTAAATAATACATTTTTTACTTTGTAGTCTACATAACTGTGTGGACTACGATGCATAGAATAATTATTGAAAATTTCACAAAATGAACATATTTAAAAAATAGTAAAACCTCGAAGGCTACTTCCGTAATTTCACATTAACCCCACACATTCCGGGACAAAAGAGTCACTTTTTCCGAACGACAAGGATATTTTTGTCTTTTCGCAACCGCTGTCCTCTCTCTCTCTCTCCCCTGTAAATTTGCAATCACTAATCATAGAAATTAGCAAAGTCCCCTCCCCTCCCCCCCACCCCTAACCCCCCCCCCCTACTGAAGAATGGCTTCAAGAGTTGGCGATGCCTTCTTCTTTCTCTCTTTGCTCCCTCTCTACACTGCTCTCTGCATTTTCTCTCTCTAGAACTCCCATACGCATCACCTTTCTCTCTCTCTCTCTCTGTCTGTATATCGGTCGCTCTCTTGTCAGCTAAGCTGCCTCAATCCTCAACTAATCTCCACTTCCATGGCCTCCTAATTCCTTCATTTATTACACTCCTTTTTGTCCATACTGTATTTATGCGTCTTTCTTCATCGCATTGCGTTACCAGTAGGTGCGTAGAAATCTAGAGGGGGAAGTGAAGACTGAAGAGATGCCGCTGGTGAGAGTTGGCGTGAGGAATGAGTTCTCGCTGGGGGCGACGGAGTTGTACAGGGAGGCCGACAAGGAGGATCCGAAGGCGGTGCTCGACGGCGTCGCCGTCTCTGGACTCGTCGGCATCTTGCGCCAGCTCGGCGATCTTGCTGAGTATGTTGTTTTCAATTTTGTTTGAATTTTATGCAATTGGAGAGTTTAGTGCTTTTTCGGTAATGGAATTAAGTAAACATTTCAATTTTCAAGTTTTTGGTTACTAATTACGGAGTATTTTATTTGGCACTGTAATGCGAAAGCTACATTGGAAGTTTGGGACTGTTTAGATGAATTGGGAATTTTAATCCGGATTTAGATTCATTTGATTGAGTGTTATAAATGTGAGTAGTTTGTTATGGAAGAGGTGTAGGTAGTACTGAAAGTGATTTTACTGCAATTTTAAGACAAATGGGATTTAGGATGTACTCCGCAGTAGGTAAATAATTGCACGAACTGGAAAATTTGCAAACCTAGGTGCTTTTTATCTTCTTGTACTTCCAAGTTGGATTCTCAATTCTCATGTCTCTTTTCCCTATTTTCCCCCCTCTTCTTTCTAGTAAATTTCTCTACCTTACCAAGTAATTGCAAAACCTAGTCAAGTATAGTTCTTTGGAAGACGGTTTTTGTTTTTAATTTCTCTTCCCCTCTTTTTATTTCTTCCAGGGTGTATGGAATTTGTAAATGACACGTAGGTTTTAGATTGGTTTGTAATCTTGATTGCATGTGATAAGGGCAATTTGCTCAAAAGCCTGTGTGATTTAACTTCCAAACAAGTTTATTCCCAGCACTTTCATTTTGAGATGTATTGATGCAAATTCTTTTGCTTTTTCTTTATTCATTTATAACATTTTTGGTCGGGTTTGGGAAGGCTTGTACTGTCAATTTTAACTGCTATACACTTATCAAATAGGAGGACTATATGCCATGATGTTGCTAAAAAAGAATGTGAAAAAATTGTGCATAAAGTCATAAACTGTACAAAGAGGGAAAAGAATAGAATGAATCTAATTATTCCTGCTGCAATGGTGTTAATATTTGTCCTCTACTTTGAGACAGTATTGAACTGGGTTAGAGATGCATCTAACAACTTCTTTTTGTTAAAATCATTTGATCTTTGTTGTGGATGAATTGAATATATTGCTAGTCAAGTCTTCATGATAGATTCTAAAAGTAGATTTCATGGACCTTCTCAATGTGTAGATTTGCAGCAGAGGTCTTTCATGGTTTGCAGGAGCAAGTTACGATTACGTCCTCTAGAAGCCATAAGCTGATGGCTCGTGTGCAACGTATTGAAACTGCACTTCCTTCACTTGAGAAATCAATACTAGCGCAACAAAGTCACTTGCATTTTGCTTACACAGCTGGTAGGACTCATTGCTCAACTATTTTGTTCCTAAGACTCCTTGATGACTTGATCATCAGAATTACCAACAGACTAAACAGATTTTATGGTGTTTTTAAACTAAACCTAATTGAAATCTTCCCTTTCAATATTTTTATTACAGTTTTCACTCATCACTATGTACCAAAAAAAAAAACCTTGCTACTCTTACTATTAGTTGCAAACTCTATAGGACTAAATACACTTCTAACTTATTTACAAATCTTTAATAGTTTCTGAAGTTATTTCCAAATTCATTCCCCATCTTGCTTGCAAGCTCATTATTCCAATTCAATAATTTTTCCTACTCTTCTGGTAGGATGCATTTTTCTCCTATTCCAATTATTGTGATCCATCCCAGCACCACCCTATTGAACAATGTAGGAAAGAATGATCATGAGGCTCTAAGCTTTCATGCTTTTTAATCTTGAAATCCTGAATTTTGTTGCACTTATCCTGATTGCATTTACCCTTGAAAATTGAAGCAACATATTTTTTTCCTGGGTTTTCAAACTCCTTACAGAATGCAGTTGGTTTGCAGGTTCCAATTGGCATACTCGTATTCATTGTGAAGAAAACCATTTTATATACAGTGATTTGCCCAGGTTCATTATGGATTCCTATGAAGAATGCCATGGGCCCCCACGCTTGCACCTGCTAGACAAGTATGGGAATTTTGAAATTTATAAGATATGGTTTCACTTCTTTTTGTGCTTGATGGCTATTTAGCACAACTATTTATTATGTTTTGTCTTTCAGATTTGATGCTGGTGGTCCTGGATCTTGCTTAAAAAGGTACTCTGATCCAACTTTCTTTAAGAGAGCATCCGCTGGTTCTGATGAAGCATATCTTGAGAAAGTCCTAAAAGATAAGAAAGGTCGAAAAATTAAGGTATGTCTTCAGATATTCCCTACTAAGTTTTAACGGCTTAATGAATAATGATTTTAACTTGTTAATGTATCATGCCTTAGAAATATTTTTGACTTACTAATATTTTTTAGGAACTACTGAAAGTTCTTATTGGAAGTGAGAGACAGTGGGGTATATGAACAATTTAATCCTATATCTATAATATGAAACTTAAAAATTATAGAAAGAACAAATACAAGCAAATAAATATGCAGTAAATTGAACTATCCCAATAAGGAAAGCCTTAAAAACTAGTTATCCAAGTGTGTATGCAACCTGTAAGGAAAGTACTCATTACATTTGTTTAATTACATCCCCATACTTCATAAATATGAAGTACATATAATAAATGCTAGACATCTGATTGTGTATACAGACTTTAAAAGAAATACCGTTTTCTCTAGTTTAATGCCACTCTATACTTTATGACATATAGTAAACTTGATTTTTGATTCTTGTGATGTTTATGAAATTGTGCCCTAAATGAGTTATGACATTGACCAGAAAAAGAGATCGTGGCAAAAGAACAGAGAAGTATCACGTGGTGCATCATCATTATCCAATTATAGTAGGTACGTCTGTTGTCTTATGTGACTTCAACAAATTTCTTTTAGGAGTTTTGAGGGATTTTTCTTTTATTGTTGTTGTTGTTGTTGTTGTCATTTTTTTTTTTTTGGGGGGTGGGGGTGGGGGTGGGGGGGGGGGGGGGGGGAAGCTTTTGTTACTGAGGGAGAAAGAAATGTTGATGTTTCCTTCTTAAATTTGCAGAATGGAATCACGAAAGTTTGATGGACAAACTTCCCCTTCCCAGAGAATATCAACTAATGGTGAAGCCATGTTAAAATCTGACCTTCAGGAGCTGTCACATTCTTTTGATTCTATATATGGATCTGCACGTGAAGAAGGTGTTTCATGCCCAAGTTCTTTGATGCACCCTGATGAAGACAAAGCTAAGGAGATGTCATCTCTGTTAAAGAGTCACCATGATGATTCCTTAGACTACTGCTCTTTTGATGAGAAAAGTGGTGATAATAGTGTCAGTATTAGTTTATCACAAGAGCAAAGTGACCATTTATCATCTCATGCCACATGGAATAAGCAGGGACAACCTGAAGAAGACGATTCTAGACAGTCATTCTCTAATTCATTACAGATGTACTCCAATGGTTCCCTTGATTCTGCTCATCCTGATGAAAAAAGTGATGTATATGGTGATATTAGTAATGGCTATTCAGAGGAACACAATAGTGCCACATGGAACGGAAAGACACAACCTGAAGAGGATGAGTCTAGACTGTCATTCTCTGCTCCATTACATTCCAATGGTTCCCTTGATTATGATATTCCTGATAAAAACAACAATGGGGATGCATGTGTTGATGTTGGGAATGGCTTATCAGAGGAACACAATGCCTACATTTTATATTCTGTTACTCGGGATGATAATGCAAGACCTTTTGAGCTGGCGTCCAAAGAATCCTTATTTTCCCCATCACAGACGAATCAAGACAATGGTATTGATGTTGCTTCCCCAGATGAAAAGATTTGGGTTGTATCTGATGAAACTGGAAGTGATTTCTCTCAGAACCAAACATGTTCCAGTCCATCTTTCACTACTTTGCATAGAAAGATGGACACATTGGAAACTACCCCACAGAAGTGTGATGATGTTGAGAATGTAGAAACACATTCTGCAAATGTATGTGCAGATGCTAAGATAACAGCTGCTGTTACTCTTAACTCTGTTGAGCAAATAGATATTCTATTGGAGAGGAAGAATAAGGAAGATACTACTGATTTTGGTTCCCAAGATGATAACATTTGGGTTGTATCTAATGAAACTGGAAGCAATTTCTCTCAGAAGCAAACTTGTCCCTATCCATCTTGCAGTACTTGGGATAGAATGATAGACACATTGGAAACTACCCCACAGAAGTGTAATGGTGATGAAAATTTAGAAACACATTCTGAAAATGCAGGTAAAGATGCTGAGATAACAGCTGCTGTTACAGTTGACACTGGTGATCAAATAGACTTGCTTTTGGAGAAAATGAATCAGAGAGATTCCGTTGATTTTGCTTCCCCAGATGAAAAGAGTTGGGTTGTATCTGATGAAATTGGAAGTGATTTCTCTCAGAAACAAACTTGTCCCATTCCGTCGTGCAGTACTTCGGATAGAGAGATGGACACATTGGAAATTATCCGCCAGAAGTGTAATGGCAATGAAAATTTAGAAACACGTTCTGCAAATGTAGGTACAGATGCTCAGATAAGAGCAGCTGTTCCTCGTGGCACTGTTGGGCAAATAGTTTGGCTGCTGGAAAATAAAAAAATGCAAATGTCAAACTATGATGATGTCCCATTTGATGACATTGACAGTGAAACTGACAATTTTGTGGATGCACTTAACACCATTGAGTCTGAATCTGAAAGTGATTTAGATTGTCAAACAAGAAAACAGTTGGATCTAGACTCTTATTTGAAGACCAAGGTAGTAGAGGATGCTATGCCTGAAGTCATAGCTAAGTATGCTGATAGCCTCTCGCCTAATTTGACATCTGAAGCTGGTGAAATTCCTGCTGGAAAAGATATTTTTGGGGATTACTCTAGTGCAGTGCCCAGCGATCATGATTCTGCAGCTTGCGTTTCCTTGGACAAGGTAACATGTGAAGATGCTTTCCACTTGAACACCTCAGAATGTAATGCCCACTTAGAGTCTCCACAGGTATCTAAAGGAACTGTAAAATCGGTACTTGCACATGGTAATTTAAATGAAAATGGTGATGTTCTTGAGACGACAGATGTAGAATCAGTTAGCAAGTTGTCATCATCAGTCTCTAGGGAGAATGGTGCAGGAGTGATCAATAAGGTCATATGCCCTGAGCCTCCAAAACCTCCCCCTGAACCTTCTGGTGTCACGTCAGTAAAGTTTTGGACAAATGGTGGCTTGCTAGGACTTGAGCCCTCAAAACCTCCGGACAGTGTATTAAAAGCTGTTAGTCAAGTTTCTACAACGACTCAAGATGATACAATTGGCACTCCAAGACAAAATAATGGTCCTGTGGATGAAAAGCATGCCAGAACATGTGTGACAGAGAATGGCCTAAAAAATAGGGAAGAAAGTCAACACTCTATGAGGTACCATGATAATCAAGATGGTGGTGTCTTTGTTACGAAAACATCCTCAAGATATTCATCAGTTGATTTAGATGCCAGAGTAGAGAAATCAAATCACTCATGTCATCCGAACAACATAAACAGTCCCCCAGATAGTCATTTTAATGAGTCTGATACAGTGCCATCCGGAACTGTACTACCAGTTGCTCCTGATTCCCTACGTACTAGCATTGGTCAAGAGAATGTTAATAATTCATCTAGGATACTTACACTTGGAAATAGATTGCTTGTAAATGGTTTTCAGCGGAAATTATCACTTGGTTGGGAGAACAACTCCAATTCTGCCAGCTCCATGACTTCCGGGGTTTCAGAACAGAAGAATCACTGTGAAAATGTTACAGCTAGAACATTCTCTCAGAAGACTATTGATCTTTCTGGAACTGGCTCTCCAATTATGTCACCCTCTTGGTCACCACCCCTTGGGCATATGAAAATATCTTTCCAGCCTGTAGATGGCTTTGAGACTCATAAGTTGAAACTCAGATTTCCTGATAGGGGCACAAGGCAAGAAAGTGGCAGTGATATGTTTCCATCCTTCCAGCTGGTACCTGATGCTGCTATTCCCTTGCATGACATGAGTTCAGACTCCGATAATGACACATTTTGCAGATCATCTCCCTACGCATCGGATGATTGTCTCAGTCATCAGTCAGAATCAAACTCAGAGCAGTGGGAATCTGGTGAATCTTCCAGTACAAAGGACCATGAAGTATATGATGCTTTACGGAGAATCTCATTAACAGAGTCTACTTCAACATCATTTGATAATAGGCTAATCACCCAGGAGGAACTATATGATAGTGGTGGAGGTCAAATACCATTTTCCGAACATGGCTTTGAACAATCACCATCTGGTTATTTTTATGACCTCCCTATTCTGGAGACACTTAGACCTCCAGTTAAGCAAGAATCAGGAAATTGTTCCACCTCACAATCTCTTCTACAACGACATTCCCCAAAGCAACCTATGCCACCACCTCCATCCGTCCCACCACAGAGATGGCAGCCTATGAGATCAGTTTCTGATCTGACAGATGGTAGGGAAGGTTCTTTACCTGAAGGCCTTAATTACACAGTTGATAAGAAACTTCAGGCAGCTACAATCTTGCATCAACCTAAGCCTGCCCCGCTTAATCAGGATCAAGTTATTGAGCCTGCATTTGGATTGAAAAGCAAGGTTGTTTTACAACGCTTAATTGCCTTGCATTACCACAACTAGAATAGTACATAGATGTATTGGATAAGAATCATATCTGTGTTTTATATATGCAGAGGTTGGACCTGCAACAGATTGATGTGCGAAGAGTAGCCTCTCTGCCTGCAAAAGGAAAGGAAATGGAAGAGAAGGAAGACTTCCTACACCAGATCAGAACAAAGGTGATCAGTTATATACTCATACAGTCATATTTGTTTATTTATTTATTTTACTTAGGATTTTTAAAGTAAACCAGGTTCTGGATTAGTTATAATTAGATGTACATAGTTCAAAACTGTGTATGTTGTTGACTTTGAATGCAATTTGAAGATTCACTAATCTTTGTTTGCTACCTATGTTGAGTGGTTTCAGTCATTCAATCTCAGACCAACGGTTACCGCAAAACAAACCCAAGCAACTGGGCTTCCAACAAGTGTGAGTGCAATTCTGGAGAAGGCAAACGCAATCCGTCAGGTATCAACTTCTTTCTCACACCCAAGACCCCATTTCCCCCATGGATCTCTCATTAAAGAAAAACAAAGGCTAGAACTCTTCTCTTAGGAAATACAACCTTTTTTATAAAAGCAAACTCCTTTAATTCTTAATCATTCTCTATCCAGGTTGTTGGAAGTGATGGAGAAGACGATAATTGGAGTGATACTTAAAATCTTCTTCCGGCATGATCCTGTGAATTCTCCACAGAGCCTCCGTGTAGCTTTAGTGTCCAGAGTTAGGTGAGCCTATGTAATACACATGGGAATAAGCAGTTCTTTGTAATTATATTTGTAGGATTATTTGTTTTTATGCTGCTGAGGTATTTCATCTTCATCCTTGTAGTCCTATGTTGTAAACATATGAGTTCAGTTCAAGTGTGCCGAGTCAAGGCTGCACTTTGGTCCGTTCATTTATATTGCAAAGCAATTTCTTTCCTTTACATTTAATAATCAATGCGTTTTTCTTGAGTCTTACATGTGTTCTTGGGACCATTCCTTTTCAATTTTTTACCTACACACTATAGTATATTGAATATTCTCTTAAATTACACGCACTTGGTAGTTATATATTGAGTTAATATCAACTAGAGTCATCTTTTCTCCAAAAGGTAGAATCTGCAATCTTAAGGGCATAGGTCTGACAAAGCATTTGGGAAGATGTAAATTATGATGACTCAAGGGCTCAGCAGATAGGCTAAATGTTGGTGTGCACATTGTTTATTATTATTATTTTTTAAATAGTGCCTACTGAATCACTGCTTAACTGGGGTCCTCTGAAGCCATATTTAGTCTTTAAACTTTCAATTTAACTCTTTGATTTTTTAACTTTCAAATTTAACTATTTATAATCTTTCAACTTTCAAGTTAGTCATCATAGTCTTTCAAAGATTCAAAATTTTTAAATAGTCCTGGATCCTGATTTTGACTTTGTCTTTACTTAAACTAATGGAAAGAGTACGGCTAATTAAATTAGAAAGTTGAAGAACTAAGGGTGAATAAATTGAAAGTTTAGCACTAAACGTGACGATGACGCTACACTCTGAGAACTTCACTAATATTAATTTTTTTTATTCACAAATTTAATTAGTCACATCACTAAAATTTCCCAAAATTAGCAAATTTCTAATTTCTCCCATGGATCAGAATAAATTAGCTTCGTTCATCATAGTTCCTTAACAAAACAATAAGACAACTTCTATGTCTTACGTGGTTGTAGATTCTTAGGTGACATCTGAGTACAGTTGTTGATAATATAATTTAATTACAACCATTTTTGCTATTTCTTTGTACCTTAATTATTTATCATTTCTTCCTCCGATCCGATCGGATTAGATAGATAAACCTTAATTTTGTCGTTTGGTTCTAAGCAAGAATCATGGGGGAAAAAGGTGCATTTCTTTATTCAGCAACTGTAATTTGGTTGACCTGACAAGGAGACTACTAATATGTTTTTTTTTTTTTTCCCTTAAATAATGTCATTATAATAGATAATTATTATAATGTTTTAATGCATCGTAGTGTGAAACATTAAATTTTCACTTCCAAATTAAAACGGTTCTAAAAACGGAGCTATTTTTCAAATAAAATGTTTTCAGTTCAATTGATGTGTATGTAGTAACGCTATTAGGAGAGCTACTCCTAAATGAGATATAATTGAGATTTGAGTTGATCAATCTAATCTTGTAGGATCATATTAGATACCAATATAGTATGCAAGAAAAGATAAAGAAATTAAAATATATACCCCACATAAAATTACTTTTGATCAGATTTTAGTGGGTTTTTAGTTAATTTTACTTTTGATCTCACGAGTTTAATGACATTTTCATTAACGGTGCATGACTTTAAAAATTGTCATTTTTTTTTGAGTAATGCTATATACCCCTAATTTATTTTCCTTACAGACTTGGCATCATTTGATTAGTTTAAATTTATTTTTTTAATTAGTGGTTAGTTAGCATATTTAGGTTCACCCAATGATTGGGGCCTCACCAAAGAAGAAATATAGGAGGGGAAATTTAGGAGGGATAAGAAGCCACTGGAGCGTTATACTGTGCAACCGTGTGCACCATGCAAGGTGCACATGGAATTGGATCCATAATTTCTATATTATAGATCTATAATTTTTATACTATAGATTCATAATTTTTATACTACATATTCATAATTTCTATACTGTAGATTCATAATTTTTAAACTGTAGATTCATAATTTATAAACTGTAGATTCATAATTTCTATACTATAGATTTATAATTTCTAAACTGTATAGTTATCAAATTATGAACATATAGTTCAGTGATTTGTGAGTACAAAGTTCAACAATTGGAAATCACTGCTGGAAATTTCGCATTTTCCGTCCAACATTTGTTGGACGGAAAACGCGATATATTGGTCGGAAACGACGTTTCCGTCCAACATACCGACCAAAAGGAACGTTCGGAAAAACCTCCGTGGGAAATTCCGTCCAACTACAGTTTTTGGTCGGAAATAGCGTCCAACGAACAAAAATCGGAAATTCCGACCCAACGTTGGACGGAAAACTCACCTATTATATTTTGTTATTTTCCTTCCAATTGTTGGTAGGAAAATCCTAAATCATATGGAATATTTTTATTATTTTTATATTACCATAATTTTATTTATAACTGTTGTTAATAAATTATGTCATCAACAAATTAATACACACTAAATTGAAAATTGAAAATATATTTAAACATCAAAATTATTTACAACAAAAATCATGTTCATGTTCATAAAAAAAAAAAAAAAAAAAAAAAAAACATAAAAAACATAAAAAATATATACTACTTGATTGATACTCCGTACTACTTGAAGTATGAAAATATACTTATTTGATACTACATAAGTATGCTCGTTGCACCGAAATAAGCCTTCAAATCCGGCACTGCTTCAATGGCTTTGATCAATGCAGCATCCACAACCTCCTTCAATGAAGTTGATCAAGTGTAAACCTTCACCAAAAATGGACCGTGATATAAGTAATCTAACACTGAATGAGTAGATACCTATGCATTTTACAAAATGAGAAGAAAATTAAAGGAATGTCTTTTATGTTTAAGTAATCTAACACAGAAAAAATAGAAAACTTCTAAATTCTTACATCCTAATTCTAAAGTTTGTTTAGTATAAGAGATGTACTCCACAATTCTTACATCCTAATTCAAAATTAGTGATACTCCACAATTGTTATGCAAGTAAAGGAAAGTAAGAGGAGATGGGTCTAGATGCAACACCTGAATACTGTCACCACGAGCATACAGTTCCTTCCAGCATACATGAGAGAGATGCATACATGAGGACATCATATGGGACACATAAATATATGCAATTGGGGAAACAGCCTCATCAAAGTGAGTTTGAACAGCATGCTAAAGCTTGAATGCATCTATGAACAGCAACAAGTGTAACAAGGTAATTCTACCAATACTAAAGAAGAGAACCAATGCATTACCACTCCATCAAAAGTAGAATCAAAATCATCAACGACAAAACATATATCTGGATACGCAGGAGTTGTTTCTACTTCCTGCAGTGTACGTGTGAAGTTGTCAAATAAAATTCACTAGAATACATGGAGGGATCCACATTAGCAAAACTTGCCTTTCTTGAGTCCAAATGAAAATTAATACGACTTGGATTATGAAATAGACGGTGTTCAGGTGTATCACAGCGACCGTCACAGAGATCAAGACCACCCAAGAAAGCTGTAATTTTTCGATTATTACCATCACCCTGTGTATCCACAAGCACACACTTCTGGTGGTGTGTCAATTAATTGATAGTCTTCTCAGAACTTGATACCTACTTTATTCTCAAAAACTAGGGGATATAAAAACATTGCAACAAGTAACACAACATATTTTAGAGATGGTTAACTGAAGGCAATTAAACCATCAAAAAAGATTAAGACTTATATCATTGAACAGTTTTTGTAATATAGAGTAAAACACAAAACCAAACTCATAAATCATCTTGGAAAATCCTTCTATTGTGTTGAGTGGGCAATGAAGAAAAGCAACCATAGGCACCAAATATAGGACTAACTGTAACCAACATGGACATTGTGTCGAATGCTGTAAGTGCTCTAGAAATCCACAAAATATCAATATGATTCAAACCCAACCCAAAAAATACATACTGGATGGATATTGAAATGCAAGGGAAAGTGTTCTCTTTAAAATCATTAAATGATCAAAATAATGTGGCTTCATCATAAATTGATAAATATGTTATCAAGCAAACAAAATCACCCCAAAACTAATCTAGCAGCTTAGCATCGATTAAGTCAAACATACAGCCCTAATTTTTTTTTCCCTGTATTCAAGTCTCACCATTAATTTTTATGCTCAAATAAACAACAAAACAGAAATGAGATTCAAAGCAAGGGTTTCGGGATTGACTTACGGAAGCAGTAAAATAGGACTGACAATGTGGGCTCAAAAATGGTTGGTGCGGCGGCTGTGGCGGAGGCCGAGACGATGGAGGCTGTGCGATGCTGCTACGGCGGCTGTGGCTATGGCTGGGTAGCGGAGACGACGACGGTGTGGCGATGGGCGACGGTCAGAAAGAGCTACTGTCGCCGCAGATCGTAGCCCGTGGTGCTCGCAGTTGTTGCTGTCGCTATCGTCGCCGCAGATCGTAGCCCAAGCTTTCCCCTACTGCCTCGCTCTGGTCACCGCCGCTGCTCACAAGAGAACAGATAAGTCGCCGGCGAAAGATGTGAAGGTTTGGCGTGGTGGCTGTACGTTTAGAGAGAGCAGATGAGGATTTGGTAGAAAATAGATTTGGAGAATGAAAGTCTAGGGTTTTTTGTCTTTTAATTTAAGAAATCAGTTTCAACATTTCGCTTGAGAAAGTGAGAGGAGGTTGTCGCGGCTTCTGAGAGGTGGAGGGCTGGAGGCTGTGGCTGTAAAGTTTTATGCAGAATAGGGCGCCCAAAAATAAAATTTTGGTGGGAATTAGAATTGAGTGAAATAATTGGTAGATATTAATAGTGAGAGTAAAAATATTTTTTGTATCAATAGTGAGAGTATATTTTAACCATCACTAAAATTATGCAAATAATACATTTAGTGAGAGGTTTTTCTACCCGTCACTAATTTTTTATCACTAAAAGTTATTTTTTTTGTAGTGGGTGGACACGGTGTTCGACGTTGGCGCGGCGATCCACGGTGGTGGGTTCTCCTATGTCCTGTTTTGTACTAGTGGCAAGTATGTACCGGAAGCTCTTCGTCGCAGATCTGAAGTTAGAAGGAAGAAGAAGGTCATCGCAGATCTAAAGCTAGAAGAAGGAATTGAAGAAGGTCATCGTAGATCTGAAGCTAGAAGAATGAATTGAAGAAGGTCGTCGCAGATCTGAAGCTCAAAGCTTGAAGTCGTCATCGCAGCTACAGTCCGTCGCCGCCATTATAGGAAGATGATGGTGAAGTAGTGAACGAAGAACCAAAGATGGCGGTGAAGCGGTGAACGAAAAAGCTAAGAGTGGAAGTGAAGAAGTAAATTAATTAGATATTTTTTTGGACGAAAATTAAAATATCTACTAGCTAAAATATTTAAATTTCCGTCCAATATTACGTTGGACGAATATTAAAATACCTACTATTTTAATTTCTACCTATCAGTCAATTCGACTCTACCAACCAACACTATAGGTTGGTCGGAATTTTCGTCCAACGCGCAAGTGTTGGACGGAAATTCCGACCAACTTTTCGTCCACCCATCTTTAGTAACAGAAAGTTGAAATCTTTAGTAAAATACCGACCAATTTACGGTTGGACGGAAAACGCGAGATTTCCAGCAGTGAATATGAACATTGAAAATTATGAACATAGAGTTTTGTAATTGTGAATATAGAGTTCAATAATTATGAATCTATAGTATAGAAATTATGAATCTAATTCTGTGTGCACCATGCATGGTGCACACGGTTGCACAACATAATTTGCCGAAGCCACTCTAACCTATCTATAGTATCTGCCCACCAAATTATGCCGAAAAAAGTAACAGTAATACTATCAAATCACAAGGTATTTAGGAAAAATAATAATAAAAATAATAATAACAATAACTATTAGTGTACAATTTCTTCTTCTTCTTCTTCTGGGCCAGAAGTGTTTGTATGTACACTTAGTCACATACCAACATATTGCAACTTAATTGCGGTTTGCTGCCATCATTTGCATCCTTATTTTGATTTAAGATAAATACATTTAACGTTCCAAATTTCACAACAAGCGCCCATGGCCTAATGGATAAGGCGCTTGACTTCTAATCAAGCGATTGTGGGTTCGAGTCCCACTGGGCGTGCTTAATTTTTTTAAGCTTTTGGGATTCCTAACTAAACCAAATACAGTTAGCGCCTCAAAAATCAAAATAAACCTAAACCAAATACGGGCGTGTAATATAAATTTTTGGAATTCCAAATACAGTTAGCTCCTCAATAATCAAAATAAACCTAAACCTAATGGCAAATACAGGCGTCAGGCGTGTGACAAAAATTATTTTTTAATAACATTAGTAGCTTTTTCAGTTTCATTTTCCACACACTAATTTTATTATAAAAATACTAAAGTATTATTTTAATTTTACTAAAGTTTCATTTGACAATATTTTTCACACAGTAGTTTCATTATAAGTTATAACAACATTAAAGTATCATTTTATTTATACTACAATTTCATTGGAAAATATACGTTGTTGAATGAGAAGACTAATCCCCCGTCCCTACGGTCAGGGTACTAAGCGGTAGGGGACTGGCCAAATGGTTTGCTCCATTCACATGGGTGGGGATCGAATCCCCAACCTCATGCTTAAGGGACGAGGTGCTGAACTACCACGCCAACTATGTTGGCTAAGAGAAGAAAGTTATAGATACAAATTTGTTTGAGAAGTGGACTTAAGTGGGCTAATGTGCAAATGTAGGAGGAATGATGTACAAAGTGAGATTAGGCGAAAAGTTAAGGGGGCGTTTACTAACTTGGAAAAATGGAGAATTCTCCAAAAAAATGGAGAATTGGAGAAGTGGAGAAAGGAGAATTGGAGAACTTGTTTACTAAATCTATTCTTCCAATTTCAATCTCATCTCCATTCTTCCATTTCTTATACAATTTTGGAGAAATGGAAAACAACATTCTCTAAATGGAAGGATGGAATAAAACGCGTGTGAACAGTAAAATTAAGTAAGGTCGTTGGTTCGAATCTAGCTTACGATAATTTTTTATTACTCCTTCTAGGGTTAGTCCTTCTCTTCTTTCTTTTCTTCTCTCCCTGGACTGACTGTAGTCTATCGCCTCCCTCCCCTTCCCATCATCTCCTTCGCCTTCTTTCTTTCTTTTCCCCTCGTCTCCAGTCCTTTTTCTTCCCATTAGCCTTCTTTCCTTTTACCAATCGTTCGCGTAGCAGCCTTCCTTCACGTACAGCAAAGAGGAGCGTAGCAGCACTCCGACAAGCCGCACAAGAACTCCGGTGACTCTACCGTCTTTGGTGAACCTTGCATCTCAACAACTCAACACGGACTCTCCAAAATCTTCTGTAGGATCTTGTCCAAGTCCACAAGTAATTATCTAAACCTATTTTTATTTATTTTGATGAATGTTATCTCATATCTAATTTCTCTATTACTTACAGAACCCCATTTTGAGGTTCTGATTTGAGAACCTCAAAATGAGGTTCTGATTTAAGAACCTCAAAATGAAGTTCTGATTATAGAACCTCAAAATGAGGTTCCAGCAGAACTGGAACCTCATTTTGAGGTTCTGATTTTAAAACCTCAAAATGAGGTTCTAATTGTAGAACCTCATTTTGAGGTTCGGTTTTGAGAACCTCAAAATGAGGTTCTGCTTTTAGAACCTCATTTTGAGGTTCTGATTTTAGAACCTCAAAGTGAGGTTCTAATTGTAGAACCTCATTTTGAGGTTCCAGCAGAACCTCATTTTGAGGTTCTGTTTTGAGAACCTCAAAATGAGGTTCTGATTATAGAACCTCAAAATGAGGTTCTGATGTTAGCTCAATGGTAATGTTCTGATTTTAAATGAGGTTTTGATTTTAAACAAGGTTTTAATGGAAATTGAATAATTAATGAAAATTGTAGATGAGTAATTTACGGAATACGCATGACGAAGATGCAAAGTGGTTGGATAGTACCTTGGTCGTTTTTCTTGATATTTTATACGATAGGATCAAACGGCACCCTAATGGACAGCCTGTTTTTAAGTCCTCTTCCTGGAATGAAATGAGTCAAGAACTTAAAGAGAAAACAGGATGTGCTTATACTGGTGGTCAGTTGTGTGGAAAGTATAACAGATGCAAGGATTTACACAAGCGGTTCTTAGAGGTGTTAAACCACACTGGGGTAACATTCAATGCTGAAACAAATAAGGCTATAGCAGATGATGAAGTTTGGGAGAGTTTCTTCAAGGTATGAATTATACTTTTATATAATATAGTGCACTAATATAATAAAGATGACACTGATGATGCTTATTTTATTGTGTAGAAAAACAAGATATTCAGAACTCTATACAAACAAGGTTGCAAACATTATGAGATGTATTGTCTTATTTTTGGCAACAACTATGCTACTGGAGGCCTTGCGAACCCTTCAACGCAACAACCAGTGAACTCCAATGAAGAAAGGCAAAATGAAGATAACTTTATAATGACTGATACAGACAACTTACCTAGAAGTTGTGGGAATAGTTCTAAGGGCAAACGAAGTGCAGATGAGATGACTGGTAGTGGTAAAATGAGTGTTAACAAGAATTGGAGAAATGAACTTGCTTCTGCATTTGTGTCGTACAACAGTATAATGTCTGAAGATTTACATGACAGGAGAGAGGAGCGAAAGGAAAAGAAACTTAGGCAACAACATAGGCAACACCGAGAAGAATCTGCGAGTGAAATGAGTACGGGAATGACCCATGTTGATAGTATGACGAGAAGTGTGCAAATTCTAAACACATTCTCAACTCTTAGCTCAGAAGCTTATAATCATGCTTTTGAAAAACTTGCCACGTCTGAAGCTCACCGAAATGGTTTTATTGCAATGCCCGAAGATAGACGATTGGCTTGGTTGCTTTCCCTCTAATCAATATTGTATTAATTGTTGTTTGTATGATGAACATGTTCTTTATATTATGTGATCAGAACTCCTAGTATATGAACATATTAACTGTACTTTAGTATGTTGATTAGTATGTCGATCAGAACTCCTAGTACATGAACTCCTATGTGATCAGAACTCCTAGAGTCCTAGTATTATTATCAAGGTGTTGTAGTATGTTGACTCCTATGTGTTGTACTTTAGTAGATGAACTCCTATGTGTTGTACTTTAGTATTTTGACATGTTGTATTATGACTATTTTAATTGTGTTTTAAATTGTAATACCATGAGCATGTGTTTATATTAATATATGTTTGAACTTTTTATAATGTGTTGGACAAGTAATGTCAGACAACAATTATGATATTTCTTATAGCTCAACTATTGATGAAAATGCATATTATAGCTCAACAAGTGATGAGAATGACTCAACTAGTTCAGATGACTCATATGAGGAGATGAAGAGAAGAATTGGGCACATGTTTGTCCTTGCTACTGCATGTTTACTAATGGAAAGTGTAGACAGGATGCCGTGTAGGAACTCTGCACTCACAGGTAACCAATACATGAGTGAATTATTATTTGGACACCCTACAAGATGCTATGAACAATTAAGGGTGAAGCCAGATGTATTCTTTATTCTATGTAAGAGGTTGAAGAACATGAAAGTGTTACGTGATACAAGAAATGTTAGTGCAGAAGAACAATTGGCTATGGGTCTTAATGTTTTATGCCAAGCATGCACACAACGTATAGTAGCTGAAAGGTTTCAACATTCAACTGCAACTGTTCATAAATGTGTGAAGACAACGGTACGGGCGCTTGTACGCTTAGGGAATGATATCATTAGACCGCAAAATAGAGGACCTGTTCAACCAGAAATCTTACGGAATCCAAAATGGTATCCTTATTTTGAGGTATTATTATTATTATTATTATTATTATTATTATTATTGTTGTTGTTGTTGTTGTTGTTGTTGTTGTTAGTTGTTAATATTATTACAATCTTTATTGTAGAAATGTATAGGTGCCATTGATGGAACACATGTGGCAGCTTGGGCACCAACATCAAAACAAAAGATGTATCGTGGTCGAAAGGGCTCAATGGTGACCCAAAATGTCATGGCCGTTTGTTCACATGACATGATGTTTACTTACGTACACGCAGGATGGGAGGGAAGTGCCAATGATTCCCGCATATTTTTAGATGCAATTGCAAAACCTGAACATGGATTTCCTATGCCTTCTCAAGGTATGATATTGTTTTCTTCTTCCTTTTTTTTTTTTTTTAAATGAGTAAATTACTTTGTTGAAAATTATAAATACGTTATTAATTATGTGCATAACATTTATATAGGTTATTACTATGTTGTCGATGCCGGTTATCCAAATACTCCTGGGTTTTTGGCACCTTATCGTGGGGAGAGCTATCACTTAAATGAGTTCCGTGGACGAGGACGAATACGAAATAAGCAAGCTCTATTCAACTATCGACACTCGTCCTTGCGTAATGTCATAGAGAGGTGTTTTGGGTTACTAAAAGCGAGGTTCCCAATTCTTAAATACATTCATGGTTATCCGTTGCGAAGACAAGTCCAAATTCCTATCGCTTGTTGTGCAATGCACAATTTTATACGGATGCATGATGCTATGGACCAATTATTTACCGAATATGAAAGGGAAGACATGGAAATGCCTAGTAGTAGTGGAAGCAATGGTGGAAATGATCCCATAGAATTAGATATGTCTCAACAACATGTTATGCATGAAGTTCGAGAAGACATAGCAAATGCTATATGGGGAGATTGTAATCAATGATGTTCTTGTTTTATAACCAAACTATGTGTAATGATTATAACAATTACAATTTATTTAGTAATATATTTTTATTAATTTTCGTTAGTTTTACACATTTAGTATTAATTTATTGCATTTTTTTATTTTGAAGTTTGAATTTGTAAAATGAAATTTAAAAAATTTGGAGAAATGAAAAACTGGAGAAATGGAAATGGAAAAACAGAGAAATGGAGATGGAAAACTGGAAAAATGGAGAAATGGAAAAATGGAAAAGGAAAAACAGAGAAATGAAGTAAACGCCCCCTAAGCAATCCTTATATAGTTATACTATGAATGAGGTTTACATTGCACTGTGAATCTTGGTGCATGTGCATGTGTCTTATATTGTCAGTTTTTATGTTTTGTGTTTTATGTTCTGTGCCTTAAGAGTATAAATTTTGTATCTAAAACAAATTACTAATTGTGTTTTATGTTATAATTTTCTGTTTTGTGTTGTGAAACTTTGTGTTTATCAACACAAATTATGTACCTAAATCTAATTTGAATAATAAGTAAATATATAACATGTGTATGTGTCTTGTGTTGTGATTTTTTGTGTCTTTATGTTATGAAATTTTGTACCTTACAAGTATAAATTATGTACCTTGTCGTTTCAACCCAGGATCTATAATGTTATATGGACCCGATCCATGATATAAATTGCAAAAGCTAATAGGGTAAGAGTGCAAATATTGAATGGCTGGGTACACTACAAGAAAATTGTTCATTAGTGAGAGGTAAAACCGTCACTAAAGAATCAAAAACCATCATAAAAGACTTTTAATGACGGGAAATTTACCGTCACCAACCGTCGTTATTTCTTCCGAGGTTAAAAACAAATAGTGACGGGATATGATCCCATCATTAATAAACATATAGTGATAGTGTATTTACCGTCACTAATACGTTATTTTTGCGATGGGAAATCCCGTCATTAATATTACTGTTACTAATAAATTTTTTCCTCATTATATTAAATTTTGCCCGTCACTAAAAATTATAATTTAGTACCAAATATTATTTTTCTAATTTTGTGTATATTATTACTTCTCATTAAATATTAATTTTTGTAATACATTTTTTTTCTCACTAATGAATGTTGTAACTATAGATATTGTATTAGGAAAAAGTTAAAATTTTTACCATAATACAATCAAAGTAAACTCAATCAATATATTAAAAGACTTCATCATCACTACCAAAATGAAATGTTTCATACAACTTTGTAAAGACTAAAAATAAAGAAACTAATTATAACAAATAGTGATAATAATGTATTTTGCCTCAACTCGTTTGCATTTGAACTAATTTTGCCTCAAGTCTTGCAACAATAGTGGTGCGCTCAAATAGTCAAACCCCTGCTTATAATCTCACTTCCAACTTCTGAATCACAAGCCTCTACCTGTTGACTGTCAATAAAACGCCAAAATGTTTTAGTATAATCTTAAGACATACAATTTCCAGGCTTAGAATTCATCAAATGATCTATCAAATTTGTAACAGAGCAAGGAGAATGGTGACATCTACTGTGGCATATGAATTGTCACATAAAATGCTCAATGCTCTTGGATTTGGTTTCTGTTTTGGTGAATTATCAATTGTCACATCTAAATCATCATAACAAAATCTTAATCTTAAGAATAATAAATAAATGCATGAATTCATCAATGGCTCAATGCTCTTCATTCATGATAACAAATACGCAATGTGAAACAAGATACAAATGGTAATTTGAAAATAAAAGCCAAGAGAAACAAAAGAAAATTAGGAAAACAATTACAAACACCCACCAGAGCAAGTGTTGGAGAAAATTACCTCAGCATCCACAAAGTCATTCGATTGATAGAACTCTCTTCTTAAGTTATGTGGTTGTCTTCTTGTAGCAGTTTCTTCTAGGATAATTTACCAACAAGCCTTGAACCGCTAAGTACTGTCTACATCTTTTCATAGAAGCTGCTCACCATTAATACACTAAGAAGAAAAACATATAAGCAAGAGTTGGCTTAGTGAAGCCCTTCCTTTCACCTATTTGAGTGTTATTTGCTGTGTTCATTACTTTCATCTCACACAAACCTTACCACTAAAATCAACCTTTCAAGAATTAATATAAAAGAATGAAATAACAATAATTTTCCATGCTTGGAACTTCTGTTAGGTGGAGAAAGTGGTAATATATGAATGCATATTCCTATATTCTAATTGATCAAGAAGTGTATTGTGTCACGGGATGCAGTATTTTTGGATATATATATAGATTTGGCAAATAATAAATCAGTAAAATATTGCAACTTAACTATAATTTGCAAAATAACTTCCTACCTTTCTCTAAGTAGTACTCATCTTTCTCTGCTAGTGATGCCTGAACCCCACTGTATCTTTTCTATAATTTGATCTATGAACAAATAAAGTAGAACAATCAGGAATTCATAGTTAAAAGCTTTGGATGGCAAATAGATAGGTTTCATAGCATATTCTTTAGCACTTTAGAGCAATATATGTTTTCTTTTATCTGAAAACAATAAATAAATTAATGCATAGCAATTACTCCAATTAGTGCATCCTATAGAAACTAAAAAGGATTTGGCAAGATGAAAATACAGAAACCATATAAGTGACCATCACAAACTCCCAAGTCCACACTTATATTTATAAATAAAAAATAAAATAAAAACCTCCAAGTGCAAACCTATGCTGAAATAATTATAAAATACTCCTTCATAGTTGGATTGCTTCTCAGGCAACAACTCTTCAATTTCAAATTCCTGCTCAGAGCCCAATACATAACAGAATTAGTGGAAGCAAAAAAGGGACATTGTCACTTATTGAGAGATATTTTGGATAGAGAATTAAGTACTTTGATAGAGGAAACTTTAAGAAACATTCACTATGTAGCAGATGTACATTGATGATGAATTATTCTAAACAATTCATCTTAAGACATGACAAAAGAGCTTGCTTGACTAGGTAACAGCATAAACTATTTTCAATCTAGCAATTTGATGCACATTTTTACAAATTAGTATAATGTTCTGTAAAAAATCAATATCAATAATGACAATGCCCCAAAAGGATGAAAACTTAAATCTAACTAGTGATAATCATCGGATTTTTGTGTATATAGGTTACAAGTGGGATCACATTTAATTAACTTACAGAAATTGTCCAAATTTTTAAAATTATAAGGAAGGGGGCTGGGGGACACCAATCAGGGAAATAGGGCTCCAACACTAGAGATAAGATAACAAGTTCAGTACTTCTAGTGTGCAGAGTAGCTTACTTTCAGACACTAAAGTATGAGAATAATCCCTCTAAGTTAATTAGAGATACAACCATCAACAGATAATGAATTAAGCAAATAATGAGAATATGAGATTCATATAAGAGCTTTGACAATAACCTAGTCAAGAGTTAAATCCTCGGCAGACTTCAAAGAGTGAGGTGTCTCCAGTTCTTCACCAGCTGGTATTGATATTACAAGTTTCCACCTATAAATCTACATTAAACCACTCCATTTGCTCACTCAAAAAAGAACTAACAGTTCAACAATCAATAATGGAGAATGTGACACTAATGATTAAATTTTAATTTAAAATCCAAAGAACTCAACATCAAAATTCTCAAAGGAAACTGGCTAAAGACAAATATGAAAAAGCATATGGAATTAAACCATAAACCATATCTATCCCTGAAAAAATAATAAAAATCATAGCTTATTTATGCTTACCTTATCATTGAAAGGATACATAGCTCGTGGGCACAAAACATATATTCAGTGAGATATTTTCACAAACACATGACGAACAAAAGCATTCTCTTATTGTGGCAAAAGCCATTTCAATAGTTATTAAATCATCAAACTGAACAAGAGTAAAAAACTAAACCTAAAAAAAATTCTTCCAATGTCAACAATTAAGCCACCGGAGAAACACTGCAAATTTTTTAAAAATAAACATTTGTGTGATTTTCTTTATATAAATCAAACTATCTAAATGAACAAATAATCAAATAGAAATTATAAAATTAGTAGGCATGTCAGTAACTTACCTTGATAGTTGGAACTTGGAAGAAGTGAACCAAGAGTCTGAGATGGGTGAGGGTCGTGAGGCGGTGAGGCTGACAGGCTGAGCGGCGATCGGCGACTCGGTGAGGCGCGAGGGAGCGGTGACAGGCGAGAGGGATGTGTGGAGAGAGGCCTGTGTCTGAGTGGAGATTAAGGGACAGAGCAAGAGAAGATAGAGAGGGCTGCGATTAGGATTTTAGGATTCGAAGAAAGAGAGATTGAGAGACAGAGGGTTTACTCGTCTTCTGCCAACAGAGGGTTTATACTCGAATAATACTGGTGGTGGAGAGGAAAGGGCGCCCAAAATGTTTTGGTGGGAATTAAATTTTAGTGAAAAAAATTTCAAGATATCAATAGTGAGAGTAATAACATACGGAGTATTTAGTATCAATAGTGAGAGTATATTTTTAAAATAAATATAAAATTAAAATTTCGTCACTAAATCTTAAACTTTTAGCGAGAGTAATTTTTAACTCTCACAAAAACTATACAAATAATACATTTAGTGAGGGGTTTTTCTACCCGTCACTAATTTTTTGTCACTAAAAGTTATTTTTCTTGTAGTGGTATATAAAGTGGGGACGGAAGAAAGTTTAGGGGTCAAAGTATGACAAGTCATAAAATCGAGAATCGTAAGGTGCAAAAGTAAGAAAAATAGATTGAGCATAAGAACATCCACACTTGTGCATATTGTGGGGAGATTTCAGCATTAATTCTTCCCTACATGAGATAATAACTAGTGTGGAGAGGGGATAATTGAAAAAGAATTGTCCTGCAAATGTGAGGATATTGTCAGGAAAAAAAAAAAAAAGAAAGAAGAAGAAGTAAGGCTGTGCGCGTTCGCGCACAGCCTTGGGCAAAAGCCGGGCGCGTGCACTGCACGCTCTGATTACTTTTTTTTTTTTTTTTTATTTTTTTTTTTGTTTTGTTTTGTTTTTGTTTTTGTTTTTTTTTTCTCTCCTCTCCCACATTCTCTTTCCTAATCACTCTTACATTATCCCCCATTCTCCCCGACCAATGTGAAAAAGGAAAAAAATAAAATAAAAAAAAAAATCCAAGAAGAGTGAAAGGAGGTCCTTCCTGTTGTGTTTCATATTTGGAGATGATATTCACTTTGAAAAACTTTCCGTGAATTCAAAAATAATTTACACTTTGTAGTTGGTTGTGAAGAAAAATCATGTAAATAAATGTTAACTATTCAATAAAATATATCATTCTTCAAATAAATAAATAAAAGTTTATTTATAGTAATACTTCTATTGCGAATCAATTCAAATACAAAAATAGACAATGATACAAAGTGAAAAAAAAAAATCACAACACTTCAAATAAAAAAGTTTATTTATATGAATTTATTTTTCACTGAATGATATTGATAATTGACATATTATGGAGGGACATACATTATTACTTTTCTTATATAAATGATAAAATTTATATAGTGGTATGTTTTATCCTCTAGCAAATTGATATTTTATTTTTAATTTTTTATTTGTCTTTATAATATATTGTACTTTAGACATTGAAAATGGAGCTCTAACTATTAAAGAGATCAAAGTCTAATTAAAGTAAGAAGCTTTTGTTGGGAGAGAATTATTTCCCCTTCTATACATACACATAATCATTATACAAGATATTTATTTTACTCACTATATTATAAATCTTTATTTCCAAAAAAGAAAAAATTATAAATCTTTGATCAAATTAAGAAGATAATATATCTATCTTGTTTTGATGGAGACGAATGACAAGACAGCGATGATCTGGAGCTCAATTTGGCCAAAAAAAAAACATCATCGGTACATTTGTCTATAAGGTGTACATAATAATTGTTGAACCACAGACGTGTATGATCATTGTATGGTTTCAAGAAAAGCTTAATATATAATAATAAATTTTTTTACAACAATATTAAAAAAAGACATTGTAAGATTGTATCTATCACTATAAATAATAAAAAGATAGTAACATATGCTTTTAAAACAACTATTTTTATTTACAAAAAGAATATGCTACCCACCTCCTTAGCCCGCCTTCCCTAAATGCAATCGTTATGCTGTGCATCCCTGTGCACCATGTATGGTGCACACGGATGCAAAAACGATGTCGTTTTGATTAAAAACGCACGTTTCACTTAAAAAAAAAAATTCAGTTTCGATTCCCCTCAATAGCATTATGTTGTTCATTGATTCTGGATTTTTAGTTCATTGATTCTGGATATTTAGACGGAAATCGAAACTGATTTTTTTTCCATTCATGCTGGATATTTAGTTCATTCATTATGGATTTTTAGTTCATTCATTTTGGATTTTTAGTGCATTCATTATGGATTTTAAGTTCATTGATTCTGGATTTTTAGTTTATTGATTCTGGATATATAGTTCAAATTGTGCACAACATAATGCTGTTGTCGGGAATCGAAACAGGTTTTTTTTTTTTTTTTTTTTTTTTTTTTTTTTTAAGTGAACGGGCGTTTTTAGTCAAAACGGCGTTGTTTTTACAACCGTGTGCACCATGCGCACAACATAATTTGCCCCCTAAATGTTTCGTCCTAATATTCACCTCCTAATGTAACCGTATTTGATTGATTTTTTAATATTTAATTATTAAGTAAATTCATTTTAAATTTGGGTAGAGTCAACCATGATATAAGAACTTTATTCTCACATTTGGAAGTAAAAATAAAAGAAAAAAAATAGTATTATTCTTGAAAAAAATATCAACCCTATTTGGTAAAATAGTTAGCAATTATTATTGTGTGGACCATGGTCCATACTAATTGTGTGGACCATATTTTGTATACTGTAAAATAATATACATTCAATACAAAAATCATGTACATTCAGTACAAAAATAATGTACATTGTATTGAAGGAATGTACATTATTTTTGTACTGAGTGTACATTATATTGTATAATGTACATTATTTTTGTACTGAGTGTACATTATATTGTATAATGTACATTCAGTACAAAAATAATGTACATTTAGTATAATAAAAATGTACTTTTTGTTATGGTCCACATAACATTGTGTGGACCATGGTCCACACAATAATTTGCCAATAATTAATTTTAGGTTTGTTTGATCACTATTAGCTGTTTGACTTGGTTAAACAATCAATATGAATGTTTGATTAATTAGTTTTTTGTAATAGCTTATTGTTCAAAAACATTAAAATTCAAAACGCTACAAAGCAGCTTTTTCGATAATCTTTTTAATAAAATCATTTTGTATGTAATCAATTATCAACTAATCGAATCCACTAACTCAATCAGCTAACAACTATTTAACACTCCCATATCTTTGTATATATCTATAATAATAGATACCACAATTTTTTAATATTATAGAATTTTTCATATACAATAGTTTGTGTGTATGACTCACTAGGGTATAGGTGTGTGTGTGTATGTCGTTATAGTTAGATATAATATACACAAAGTGAATGTGAATCATACATCTTGAAGACATGACCCTTATCTTTAATCCGTATATAATTATGAAAAAGGCTACAATAATACATTTGTTTACAATATTTCTTTGCCAAAAAGTAATAACAAGATATTTTTTAATGGTTTGGGTTGGGGACGGTTTCAGCAGGGTCCGAGAATTCGGATGGTTCTTAACGCCAACATAGCTCAGTAGGTTGAGATTAAGGCTCTGTTTGGCAAACCTAGCTGAAAAGCTATAAGCTAGGAGCTGATAGCTGAAAAGGAGCTGAAAGCTGAAAAGGAGCTGAAAGCTGAAAAGCTATAAGCTCGGAGCTGAAAATTGAAGAGCTGTTAAGCTAGCTGTTATGATTGAAAGTGTTTGGTAAAATTAGCTTTTGGATAAGCTGATAAATGTAAAAAGACTAAAAAGGACATCTTCATAAAATTTAAATTAGTTTGTTTATATATTAAAATTTAACAGTTCGTCTTCAAAAAAAATAAACATTTTTAAAATAAAACTATTAGCATGATCATGATCTAGCATCCCATAATGAAATAGCAATATTGTCATTGGTTGAAGCCATATTGCTAATTTAATAATAATAATAATAATAATAATAATAATAATAATAATAATAATAATAATAATAATAATAATAATAATAATAATAATAATAATAATAATAATAATAATAATAATAATAAGGGATTGACGTGAAAGTTGGGATAGGGGAAGAGAAATGATTTTAATTCATAAGGTTAAAATATGTCATTACTTTAAAATAATAAGGGTAAAGATGGAAAAAAAAGTTAAGAAGCTAGTAGCTTATTTTGAAAAGCTACCTGAAGTAGCTTTTCAAAATAAGCTCTTATTTTAAGCTAGGATCTTATTTTGGAACATTACCAAACAGAGCTTATAGCTTATTAGTAGCTTAAAATAAGCTATAAGCTCCTAGCTTAGCCTTGCCAAACAGAGCCTAACAAGAGTAGCATGAACTTGTCGGCGTAAACTGAGAAATTGGTGATAGTAAATTTAATAGGGAAGTGTGTGTGAGCATTTAGTTGAATGACCTCATTGGTATTCGTAGTGGTAGTAGAAGCCATCAGCTAGAAAGAGAAAAAAAAAATAAAGAAGTTCTTTCGTAGGAGATTTAGGCTCTTGATACAATGTAAAGTTTATGAACTTAATGATTTATTTATATAAACCTAAGCAGGTATAGCTATTCAACAGGAGCTAAACTAGAACAAATAGAGATGGAATATGTCAGCCACATATGTCCTTAATAGGTTGAATTTCATCAATTTATATTAATGAAGGAAAAGCTTACAGAATCCTATTCTGATAGAGTTTATAAAAACTAATAAGTTTTTGAATATCAATATACTTTTGAAGACTTTTAAAGAGTTTTAAAAATTTAGATCGAATAGCACCAAATTTTTAAAGTGTTTTTTTTTTTTTTTTTTTGAAGGTCAACCAATGCGGTTGTATTTATTGATAAGCTGAAATAGAGTTTGGTGGGACGTCGTCCCAATACATGGCCGTAGTAAAACCAAAAGCAGTATTAGCTAAAGTGTGCATTAGTAAATTCTGTGATCTAGGAATATAAATGACTGAGCAGAAAGTAAAAGTAGACATATAATTTCTGCAACTATCAATAGCGTAACCAATATATGATCGAGACGGGGCGTCCGGCGCATATAGATAATTCTATAAAGTTTGACAGTACGTATGAACCTGTACCGTCTGTTCACCACGTGCCCTTAGCCATGACAAGGCTTCTCTGTATGCAAACGCCTCGGCCATGAGCAGGGAGAAGCAATTCAGGAGGAGGGCGCTAAAGGCTGAAATATATTGGTTGTCGACATCGAGGAGAATTGCTCCAACCGTGGCCGAATTCACTCCATGGTGATACTCGACATCCACGTAGCATTTTTTCGGCCTTGTAGCTGCAACGTAGGACTGATGAGGTTGCAACGACGGTGGTGAGGGTGGCTGTTCGGCGGTGAGAGCTGTAGCGGCGTGGACAATGTGGACGGCCAGCAGTGGGTGTTCGACAGAAACAGCGGCGGCCTGAGCAGTGTGTTCGGCGGCCGTATGGGCGGTCGTTCGGTGATGGACAGCCCGCCATGCTTGCATGGTGGCGGTAGCAATTGCAAGAACTTTCTTTGGCCTTGGTAGACAGGCATCCCAAACAGCTCCGTTTCGTGCTCTCCAAATGTGGTATAAGATTGCAGCTGCGTAAATAATTCCATTAGTGTCTAGAACATTTAAGATTGTACTAAATCATTCATGGAAAATATTTGTCACAATATTTGGGAGTGGAATGTTGAATTGAGTCCATATGGATCTTGCATAATCACACAAAACTAATGAGTGCATAGTGTCTTCATTAGAGATCCCACACATGGCACACATCGGATTAACCTCTACCCTCTTTATAAGCAAATTGTTAGTAGTGGGAAGGATATCACTTAAAGCTCTCCAAAGAAAAGTTTTCCATTTAGGTGGGATTTTGATCTTCCATAAAGTGAGCCATTTATTAAAGGTCCCATTATTATTGATCTCATAGTCTCCAACAATGCATCTGTAGCCATCTTTAACAGAGTAACAACCATTGGGATCCCCATACCAATACCATATGTCTTCATAATCTCGGGAAATTGGTAGCTTCAAAATTCTAGGCACATCATCTGGTTGGAAAATATTAGTGAGCAAATGATAGTCCCATGTACCCGTGCTTTGGTCAATTAATCCCGCAACTCTAGCCCCAGTCAGTTGAGGTGGCATTTCAGTTTGGATCATAGGGTCGAGATCATCTTAGAGCCAAGGGTGATCCCAAATCAAGGTAGAATTTCCATTCCCAATGCGCCTTACACCATTACATATTAGCTCTTTAGATGCCATAATACTGCGCCAACAATAGTTGGGGTTATTTCCTAAGCATGCTTCAAAGAAAGATCCCTTTGGGTAGTATCTGGCTCTGTATACCCGAGACGCCAAAGAGTCAGTGTTAGTAAGTAGTCTCCATGCCTGCTTGCCCAACATTGACAAATTGAATGCTCTTAACTCCTTGAAACCCAGGCCACCATACTTTTTTGGGATGCATAATTTATCCCATGCCTTCCAGTGAATGCCATGGTCAGTTTCCGAACCCCACCAGTAATGATTCATTACTCGTTCAATAGCTGTGCAGACAGATATAGGCAGTAAAAGGACTCCCATCGAAAAAGTAGGCATAACCTGAGCCACACTTTTCAATAAAACCTCTTTAGCTGCATGTGATAACAATTTTTTGCTCCATGATCCAATAAGCAAATGCTGCCTTTTTATTCCTTCCAATAAACGAGGGTAATCCTAGATATTTCCCAAAGTTAGGAGTCTGCGTCACTTCTAGGATTTGTGCCACTTCTTCCCTGTCATCTTCACAAGTGTTTTTACTATAACATATACTGGATTTATGATAATTGACCACCTGTCCAGTCAAACTCTCATATGTAGTTAAACAATTCTTAATTTCAGTTGCTTCCTGTATATTTGCTTTGAAGAACAGCAGGCTATCATCAGCAAAGAATAAATGCGAGATAGGCGGAGCACCTCTAGCAACCCTACATCCATGTATCAAACCTCTATCTTGTGCCTGTTTCAATAACAGAGAGAGGCCTTCTGCACAAATAATAAACAAATAGGGGGATAAAGTGTCTCCCTGTCTTAGGCCATGGGTATGTGTTACCAGGCTGCTATGGGAACCATTAATCAAGAAGTTATAAGATACCATAGTTACACAAAGCATGATTAATTCCACCGATCTGACATCAAAACCCAGAGCCAGAAGCATCCCATGAAGAAAGGACCATTCCATACGGTCATAGGCCTTTGCCATATCTAACTTAAGAGCACTCCACCCAACAGTTCCACATTGTTTTCTATTCAAATAATGCCCCACTTCTGCTGCTATGAGGATATTATCAGTGATCAATCTATCAGGTATAAAAGCACTTTGTGATTCAGATATAATACTTTCCATCATAGGCTTCATTCTATGAGTAATCATTTTAGCCATGACTCTATAAATCACATTACTCAAAGCTATAGGTTTAAGATCAGACACCAACTCAGGGGTATTTTTCTTTGGGATTAGCACAACATCCGTATCATTTAAACCAGAAGGAAAAGAGCGGGTATTTAGACAATCTATTATAAATTTCGAAATATCATCCCCCACCACATCCCAAAAGTGCTGATAGAATCCCGGGTTCATTCCATCAGGGCCATGTGCTTTAACAGGAAACATGGCAAAAAGTGCCTCTTTTACCTCATACATTTCAAAGGGCCAGAGTAATGATTCATTATGAGCTTGGGTAACTCATGGAATCACATTATCAAATAAATCATTACCACTCACAGGATTACCAGAACGAAAAATATCATCAAAATATTTTAAGATAATATTTTTCATATCCTTCCCTTCCATCCACTCCCCATAATCATTCATGAGTTTAAGAATTATATTTTTCTTTCTACGGTGAGAGACATACCTGTGATAAAACTTTGTGTTTGCATCAGCATTTCTAAGCCAGTGTTGCTTGGCGCGCTGTCTCTAATAAGTATCCTTCTGGGCCTCCATATGGGTCAGTACCTCCTCCAGGCGCTGGAACTCAGCTAGGGAAGATGAATCAGTGTGTCCCCTTAGATGTAACTGATCCCTACGAAGTTGTATAATTTTCTCACCAAACTTATGATAACGATCACCACCCCAGCGAGCCAACCTATCACCATAATGCGTAATACATTCCTGCATTCCTTCAGTCCTCCCTTCCTCCCATGATTTTTCCACCACATTCCTACACCCCTCATCATATAACCAGGTCATCTCAAACCGAAATCTCTTTTGACCCACATTTCTCTGAACCAGATCATGAGTTCCTAGAAAAATTGTAGAGTGGTCAGATGTTCTTGTCAATAAATTAGTCACCCTTGCCCCAGGCACAATACAACACCAATCATTTGTTGCTAAAACTTTGTCCAGTCTTTCCTCAATCCAATTAAGGGTGCCTTTACTCTTCTCCCACGTAAATTGATATCCACACATAGGCAGTTGAGATAAACGGCACTGCTCAATAGTCTCCCCAAAACATCGAAGGAGATTATTTGGATGCGGATTTCCCCCTCGCTTCTCATATTGAAACAAGAGATCATTAAAATCACCCACCACAACCCATGGAAGTGTAGACCGTGGTGCTAATGATTTCAATAACTCCCAAGCTTCTGCACGCCAATTGCGCTCTGGATAACCATAATAACATGTCATTCGCCACTTCGGAAAGCCAGATATAGTCACATCCACATCAATATGATTCCTCAAAAAACTCATAAGCCTTGCTATATTATTTTTTCGCCACAACAAAGTTAAGCCACCACTTAAACCAACACAATCAACATAAAATAGTCCAACAAATCCAAGTTTGACACGAATACGTTCAGCATGTATTCGATCCACTTTAGTTTCCATGAGAAAAATAAACTAGGGCTTCTTACGCTACACAAGGTCTGTCACTTCGCGAACTGTCTGTGGATTGCCCAAGCCACGACAGTTCCAGTTGAGGGTACTCATGATGATGGGCGGGCCTGGGAGCCAGAACCCGCCATGGACAAGTTTTTGGAACCTCTGTCATTGCAACATCCTCACTAATAACACTTGCATGCATGCTATCGTTACCACCTTGCCTCCTTCTCTTCGCCGTAGCTACCACAAACGGTTCGGGCCCCCGCCGGCCAGAATCCGAAACCCCCGAGACATCGGCGGCCGGTCCTCCCGGCAGTACAGAAGCCACGGTCGCCGCCGCTTGTATTGGCTTTCCATCCTTATCTAACAACCACGACGCCCCCACCTTCCGTGGTCCCCTCCTTTGCCCGGCACGCAATTCATCGGAGTAGGGGTATTGGTCTACCGGAATAGCCGTTTCCCGTGCCTTCAAACAATACCTGTGCAGGTGTCCCAACATACCACAGAAAAAACAGAAATTATGAAGTCTCTCTTATTTAAAATTTACCCAACAGGTCGTTTTATCTCGTTTCAAAAGCTTCATACGTCGTTTCAGAGGCTTCATAACAAGAATTGAAACCCTAATACGATAGAATGTTTTCCATGGTGCATTAGCGAATCGGTCATCAACTTTAATGAATGTCCCAGAAAATTGCCAATATGTTCTAGTATCACATTAGTCGTATAACCAAGCGGAAGTTCATGGACCTGAATCCACATATCAACAATATCAAGTGGAACCGTAACAGGTATTACACCATCCCGAACTTGCTTGCAGATCAGAGTGTGGTTCTCAAACGACCATGGGCCGCCATCAAGAACGCGTTGCATGTCTGTCACATGGTGGAAAACAAACAAGAAAAGTCCAGATTGTATCTCAGTTACTTGGACACTCTTAACCGGTTGCCATACCGAGGCCATGACCTGGCTCATATATTCAACCTTGATAATCTTCGTCGTGAGGAATCTTCCCACCAATCGCCACGTTTCATTCGCTGCAACCACATTTTCATCGTCGGAGAGCTTAGTCGGCACGAAGACGTCGTCTTCCTCCTCTAGGGCTATGTCTGCCCACCGCCGTGTAATCCCTTCCACACCATCACTGGCTGCTGCTGTTGTCTCCATGCGTACGTTCGTAACTCGCAAAAAAAGGCCTCTCGCCGTAGAGATGAAAGCAGAAGGCCGGTCGAAACTGATGAAACCCTCGGAGAAGCGGAGGAGCGACTGGAACCCTAGCAGAGTTTTAGGGAGAGAATAAATTTTTAAAGTGTTTAAAAGTTTATAAAATTGTTGATTGAATATACCTCCTTAGTTTAGGGCATATTGTTTGGTTGGTAATGCAAAGGAAGGAGTAATGTTTTTCGGAAGTTGTAGAGTCCTTCGTTTTACTACTTGTTTTGTTGAGTATATAATATATTCCCACAAGTGAAGATTCCCTTTGGGCCAGCTTCTGTGCCTCTTGGAGCGAACCGGGTGGACTGGACCGTTAAACGGACAGAGAAAGACCCGGACCACATTGTGGTTTACACCAAAAAAATATAATATATAAAGATAAATGTACAATTCAACTATCAAATTAGATTTTTAATTGAGATGGAACACATGCTTCAATTAGTATTAGAGCCAAACCTCATGTCAAAGGTCATAGATTTGAATTTTGACGTCACCTGATAAAGAAGACTTTGATAGACATGTCTCATCAAAAGTAATCCGCAACTTAGGCTTGACAAATTTACATTAATCCTTAAATATAATTCAACTCTAGTAAAATTTGATTCACTTGTTGGTCGTGTTCTATTGGAGCGCTCTTAAAAAAAACGCCCTTTTTAACAAGAGGAGATGCTTTTATTTGATCTATCTCTTATATATGTGTGTGTGGATGCTTGCAAGTACTTGAATTAGTGATTTTTAATTGGAGGAATGAATTGCTAAGTCTTCAACTTGGGAATGATTGGGGGAAAATGCAGAAGAAGCAAAAAGAAATAAAGAAATTAATTAAATAAAGGAGAAAAGTATGACTTTTCTTTTTCTTCTTTCCATTTGATTGATTAATTAAAGCAAGTTAATTTCACATTTATCATCCACAGCAACAAGCAACATGATATTTGCCTTTTCCGACCTATCAAATATTTTAGCTGTGTACGTACTTTTTCTTTTCAAGACCATAATATATTTCAATATTTCAACCCATAAATACTCAACAAATATAATTATTAAAATTTCAATGACTATTATCTTGTCAAAA